TGCACAGAGAAAGATTCTGGTTTCATCACAATTTCTTCAGTGTGCTCTTCAGAAGGCTGCAGGCGAATCCCTCCTTTTGGAGTGCTGATTCTCAAACCACCTCCCTAGATAGAGTCATGAGAGAGAAACATTTAAATATGAAGAAAATTCAGGAAAAAAAGCTGTATCTGTAGCCAGCTGGGATACAGGATTTATTGAATAATATATTTTACAAGAATAATAATCATCAGGAGTAACATTCTCATCTCATAACCCTGAACTGGGCTTGCCTGATAAAGTTGAAAGTCAGTGCAAAAGAAAGTTTAGATTATTCAGCTAAAACCTGGTGTCATGGCTTTGCATAAGCAAAAGGAAATTTGCCGAGCTGCACAAGAACAGGTCTGCTGAAAGAATGTGAAAGTGTTACCTCAAACAACCAATTATTTTATTTCTTCATTCTTCCCGATGAAGAGGAAGAATATAGTTTTGCAAGCTACTGCAATATTGCCAGACTCCTTGAGATACTGAAGATTTTAGTTGTCTAAATTGTATCCCTTTTCTGATAGTATAAATTAGCTGAAAATACATGCACCCCACTGTTCCGTGTCCTCAACCACCAGGCTTCATGCTGAATATCTGAAGAACTAGGGATTTTTCTTTTTTTTTATTTTTCTTTTTGGTGGCTGAAAACATAATTACTTTACCTCTATGATAACATCAGATTGAACCATCAATTGAACTGCCTCTTCTTCCTCTGTGAAGTTATAGGAGACTGTAAACTTCAGATGTCCTCCAGCAGCTGCTACCTGGGCAGAAAAAAAAGACAGCAAAAATGCAACCGAATGAAAGTAAACAAATCTCAACCATTTGGGGGCAGTTTTCTCCAGTGTCAGTATTTCCCAGAAATAGACTTCTAAGTGTTGCAAAACCATATGAAGATACCTGGGGATTACACCTCTATGGACCACTCTCTTCTTGCTCAACCATCTAGAAATCATGTTTAGCCATTCTTCTTCTATCTCTATCAAAGGCTGCAAATTCCTTAAACTCACAGACTAACAAAGTAGTCAGAAACAGATCAAAAATCTGTTCAAATTTCCACTTACTACTGACATTATGTTTTCAGTGTATTTAAGTTATACAGACCTCATTTAGGCTGTGCCACTGCCACAGCAGCCTTAGCAGCCTTCAGAAGAGTCAATAACTTCAGTTTTGTTGACTGGGCAAACTACCAAAAAAGAAAAAGAGCCCGGTGATTTTTTTTGTTTTTTTTAAGAATAAATGCAACCTAAAAAAAAGTAAGAATTTTCCCTTATGCAGTGAAATAAAATTGCTTTAAAAGAATGCTCCACCTCTTTCTCTCAGTTTGACTCAGACTTCAGTGTGAGAAGTCAATAACCAGGCTCTTGTGTCATGACAATATATTTTTTGCTAGTTGTCAAAAACACAACACTGACACCAGATTTTCCATTAAAAAACTGAAAAAGTACATCAGTTTTAAGATCAAAATCAAAAGCTGCAGACTTGAATAATGGAGTTCAGTACAAAACCAGTGCTTGTTAATTGTTTGGAAGCAGCATATGTAAATCAGAGTTTGCAAGAGCTATATTTTGGTTTTTTAAATGTATCTGCCTCATACTTCAGTGAAACATGAGCCTCCTCTCAGACACTATTAAAACCATAGGGATCCTTCTCCCTTTCCAGTCGGTACTACTGACTACAGAGCAAACTCATGAGTCTTCTACAAAGAGAATAATCTGTTTATTCTCAAGGACATAACGTGCTATCTCTTGTTCATTATACTAAATGGTTTTGCACACAGTAACAGAAAGCAGTGGAAGTCATCAACTTCATTATTTTATGATGCATCTAATTTAAGGGAAGAAAAAGAAAAAACCAAAAGTATTTAAGGCATAGAAATCAACTGATTTTGAATTATCTACAAAGGAATAAAAATCCATAAACTACATCTAAGGCTGTACAGCTCACTGCTAGTTTAAAGCCAGAAAATTCACTCCAATTCATAACCCAAATCTTGGATCATAGAATCATTCAAATATCTCACATTGAAAGGTGTGCTCTTAAGGAACATTGAGTCCAACTCCCCACTCCCCACAGGACTACCTAAAACTAAATTGTATGACAAAGACCATTGTCCAGATGGTCTTTAATCTCTGACAGGCTTGGTGCCATGACCAGTTCCCTCAGGAGCCTGTTCCAGTGACTGACCAGCCCTTCAGTGAGGCCATCTTTTCCTAATGTCCAATCTGAACTTCCTCTAATGCAGCTTCCTTCCATTCCTACTGCTGGTCATCAGAGAGAGGTGATCAGCACCTCCCCCTCCACTGCCCCCCTTGAGGAATTTGTAGACTGTGATGAGGTCACCATTCACCCTTCTCTTCTCTAAGCTGAGCTAATAGGTGTCTTCAGCTGCTCCCTCTAAGTCTTGCCCTCAAGACTTTTCACTATCTTGGTTGCCTTCCTCCGGACACACTTTGTGGTGCCCTTCTTATACGGAAGGACCCAAAACTATGCACAGTACTCAAGGTGGGGCTGCACCAGTGCAGTGTAGAATGGGACACTCACCTCCCTCAGCCAGCTAGCTGTGCTGTGCTAGATGCATCCCAGGACATGGCTGGCCCAGTTGGCTGACAGGGCACATTGTTGGCTCATATTCATCTTGCCACCAACCTAAACCCACAGATTTCTTTCCATGGGGCTGCTCTCAAGATTCACATTCCTTGATTTGTATGTATAAGCAGGTACAAGAATTCCCAAGTACTTTCTCTTGTTAAATTTCATATGGTTGGTGATTGCCCAGCTGTCTAGTTTATCTAGATCTCTCTGTATGCCCTCTCTACCCTCAAGATAGTTCACACCTCCTTCTAGTCAAGCAAAACATCAGCAAACACTGGCATTGGATGTTTATCATCATAGTATCCAATCCTGTTAGGGACAATGTAACTACATTCAGCCTTGACCATAACAATATGAAAAGATTTTTTTTCCTTCGACACACCACTTATAGCATTTTTGTTTTGCCTGTGGTCAAACACTAATTTATAACTGTAAGAGGAATATAGAAAATTTTGATATCCAAAATGCTGCCTGTAGTACTCAGAATGTCATTCAGCTTTAGATAAACATTTTAAAAGAGTAAATTTTGCAGAATTTTATACTTTGTCTTTCAAGTTCAGTTTAACCACAAGAAAGTGAAAATAATGGGAAAACAAAGGTTGTGTGGTTTCAGGCCAACTACCAAGACAAGCTTCACTTCAAGAACATAATCTTTACCTTAGTAAATTAAAATCCAGCACTGGGAATTTATAGGCCATATGAGGAAAAAAAAAAAATTAAAAGAAAGGTTCTGATTTAGAATAAATGCAGATAGAAAAGCAGTCAACAATGGAAACTTTGACCAAAACTTTGTTAGAAAGGAATAGGCACATAATCGTTTAGAGAAAGCAACCAGAATGTATTAGGGACTTCTAAAATATAGCCAACAGCAAACAAGGGAGGAAAGGGGTGAGTTTGATGAGTCCAGAAAAGAGAACACTAAGAGGGAATAGGAAAACAGTTTACCAAAACATAAAAGACTGGAAATGGCCATTTGTATTTTCCTGTGGCAACTGCAAGGAAGGCATGAAGAAGCTTGATTATACAGAAAGCTTTCTGACTGTAAGGATGGTCAAAGCAGTATCAAGATGCTTAAAAAATGCTATTGAATTCCTTCATTAAATTTTTAACAGCAGTTCAAACACGTCAGAGATGCTCCAGGTATGATGCCTAAGAGCTGGAACATGACTAAAGAAGTCTCTTGAGGTCTCTCTGTCAGCCACAGCAGTCTGTTTCATGACTGCAATTGGCAAGATTTGCCTATCACAAACAGGATCACACAATGAAGTCAAGGTCCCCAAACGACACTTATTGGAGAGAGTACTTGGTAGTTCAGGATATATATTTACCTTGTGTGCTGTATAATACCAATGCAGATTAGAAAAATCCCCAAATTTAAATAAACCAGAAAGTACTACTCCCTTCGGCCACTGTTTATAAAAGTAATTTTCTTCCTCTGCATATGTAAATTACATGTTGACTCACAGGAAGAAGAATTTAGAGGTCAATCCATTCACTGAACAAACAATTGTCTTGTACAGGGCAAAAAAAATACTTTTCACTGAATTTTGAATATAAGGGTGGTACAGAAGTTGGGCACCTGTAAGATCTTTTCATTTTGATGTTGTTCTCTATATCACCCAAAGATTCAGAGTTCTGCCTCAAGGATTTTCATCACCAAAGAAAACAGAGCTTAAAAGTTTGCCTTGCTGGTGACAAAAGCATGTATTGTTGAGACAAGAATAACTGACTAAAAATGTCAAGGAAGTTCCACAGAATTTCCTTTATCTCTCCCACCTGTTTTTAGATTAATAGATCAAATATTTCTTCCCAGCTCAGGAGGCAAAATCTGTGTTCAGGCTTTCCACGAAATACAAACATAGGAGAAAGGGATCACAGCTATCCTAATTCTAATCCACCAAGTTTCTGGCAGATATTTAATTTTTTTGGTTGATCTTTCAGGTCCCTTCCAACCCTGACAATTCTATGATTCTATGATCACAGTTAACTGTACTTCTACTATTATGTTATACGTTATTAAAAGATATAACCAGAGAGCAGACAAAACTGGTTATGACATCCTGACAGTTGCATTCTGGGTCAGCCAAAACCCTCTGAAGCAGGAGGGATGGCTCCTTTCCTGTGAACAAAGGCCTATACTCAACAGGAAGAGAGCTGGAGAGCAGGTGGAAGCACTGAGTACTACTGTGTGTAAAGCTTGCTTTGATGTTATGCCTGTCACACTAAAATCACTTTTAAATCAACATAAGTGATAGCAAACCACAACATTTACAGCACTGAAAACAAACAGTATTGCTACAAATATTTGCAAAGCCATAAATGAGGAAAGCTTGCATCGCTTTATATGGAAATTAAATTCTAAAAATCCTTCTCTTCCTCCACTTAGTCAGTCTGCTGTCAATGCTTTCTGAGGCAGGATGTCAGGTTCTCTCCTCCTAATACCATTGGAGAGTATCCCTTTGTTATACAGCTTTTATAACCCATCCTATTCTTGAATCATCTGGTGATTCACACTTTCCCTCTCCAATGCATTTTGTAACTCTGCCCGTAAGATTTTGGTGCTTATTCCACTACACTAGAGGCTGCCTCATTTCTTCTGAACAATGCCTGCCAAATGTAACTTCAGAAGACCAGGAGCTGCCACCACTAAACAGGGTGCTGTTTACAACCTCTTATCTCTTTAAGCAGCAAAGTGCTCTTCTGCCAGCTAGGAAGAGACTCAGTTTGTGATTAAAGCATCTAAATATAATTGCCCATTTGTGAATTAGAAGACCATGACCCTCCTGAGTGGAAGCCAGTGGACTATACTGGGATATCTCATATGGCAGTATGTGGCTACATGCAGACAACTAAAAGAAGTTGTTTGCATAGTCAAAGAAATCTAGAAAGTGGATGGCCTATGGTTTCCTCACTGATGGATGACTTTCAAATAACTTTATTTTTGTTCTTATATTTAAAAAATAACTCGGAAAACATGAAAAAAATTTCAGAAATGAATAAAGTATTACACAGTAAGTGTATTATTGAAATAAAACACATGCACGTTGCACATAGGTTTAGTAGTAAAATCTGTAACAGAATGGATTTAGTTAAGAGAGACTTTGCTCTCAGGCCTAGTCCAAGAGAACACGACACCTTCAAAAACATATTAATGCATTAAACTAGATTT